CTCAACACGAGACACCGCGCGAGAAACACACCCTCTCGCGCGGGAGGGAAGAAGAGGAGGAGGAGGAGGGCGCATTTTGAAGGCTAGACCGATTGTCGCAATTGGGTCTATCGAGATTAGATTTAGAAAGAAGTGATTAGAAGACGATCGTTACGTTAGTCGTATTCTGCCAAGAATTATTCCCGATGTGATTGTGAACACAGAAGCGAGAGTTATAAAGGATCGACAGAATATCATTGGCGCCAGGAGTTGAAGCGAATTTTTTTCAAGAGGAATCGATGATCTCAATTCCTGCGAGAAGAATGTCTCGGGTTAATCGCGAGGAAACATTCCTGTTAGTTAGAAGAAGCGGTCAACGAGTGAGAACCAGAGTGAAAAAAATTGCGTTAAGTCGATCTTTCGATCGCAAATATTTTCAATAATATTTGTTACAACGATTTAACGCACTTCCTTCTTCCTGATTTCACCTGAGTCAAAGAATTTCTACAATTCCACCAAGAAAAAAGAAAAGAAGAAGAAGAAAAGGAGAGGAAAGAAAGTAAGAGAGGCAAAAATACGTTTGCACGAGGCGAACTCCGTTGCTTTTCGTTTCAACCTCATCTGCGATGTTCGGATACGCGCGAGTTAAAAAACGGGTTTCGAAGCGGGAAACGTTCCTCCGTCGACGTGGCGGCAACACCGACCTTTGCCTAAGTGGAACGAGAATAGTCGCGCACAGTCACAATGACAGATCCTCGCCCGACATAGACACGGTTTCGCGGCTGAAAATAGATTTGGAAAAGGCTGGCGGGCGATCGTGACCCAACGCTGCCCGCCCGATTCGTGGCGGAAGTCCGTTTCGCGTGGGACGCCGCCGCCATTAGTCATCCAACGGCCTCACCGGATGCCCCACTCGGGATCCCGGTATTACGCAAAAATGTCGATACGAATCCGAGAAATCGAGATTTCCTGGCTTGACCAAGTTGTTCTTGTCCCCGTGCCAGGGGCACGGCTCGTTCAGTTGTTTTTGGAGCGGAATTTATCAGAGTGGAGGGAGCGTTTCTTTTTTTGGCGTGTAACGAGTTGCGAAATTTCGAACAGATCCCGTTCAATTCGAATAATTGAGGAATTTTCTTTCGCAAAGAAGTGCAAGCTTATCGAAAATATATGGATTGTTTCGTAACGATTGGATTTTCGATAAAAGTTTCTTTTTTTTCGCTTTCGTGCTCCTTAAAAGCGTTTTATAAATGTAAAAATGTGTTGTGTAAAAAATTGGAACGATATTTCCAGGGAAAGAAATAATTGGGATATTTCGATTTAGGTTACATTACGAAATCACCACCTGTACCGTTCTGGTTTAAGCCATCAATCATCGTAATTCTCGATGAATGAACGAACTTCATCGAGAAAAAAATCCTCCTGGCGCGATTAATGTCACGTAAAATATGTTCATGGCTCACCGTAATTGTCAGGCTGCTTCGAGGAACTCGGCAAGCCAGCGGTGGCCGACATTTCGAGGACTTCACCTACTACTCCTCCCTTCGAAACGCATTTACCACTTTCCAACACTTATTATCCCTTGCGTTTTCTCCGTCAACGCGACGGATTTCGAACAACGAAACACGTGAATCGTTCTCGAATGCCCTCAGTCCCGCGCGAAAGGGAGGAAAATCTCGAAGAGATCGACTCGGTTTTATTGCGCTCCGCACGGCCGGCTTCGAGGATGGCCGAACGAACGGCGCGGACTGCTGCCAATCTATTTTCAAGCGGTGCCAAGCGGCCAGGTATTTCCGTTGACAGCGCGCCACGCGAGTTCGGACGAGTTTCTTCAATAGATAATCCACGATATTCGAGTTTTCTCGCTCGATATTCCCGCCATTCTCGCTCGAAATCGAACGTCGGCCACGCCTTGAAATCGCCGCCATTCCGTCGTATTTTCCCCCATTTTCCATTTCTATTCGGCTAACAGTTGGAGTTGTAGCGCAGGTTAAAGATTTTGACTGCTCAAGGTCACCGTGTGGCTGTAAGCTAGAGGAACGCGGCTACCTTCCCCCACCATGCCGCCTCACCTAATCTCCGGCTGGTCGAAAGTGGGGGTACGCTCGAGCTATGGTGGGGAGCGCTGCTTTGAACGCCAATTGATTTCGAACAGGCTATATCTATACTAGAAATTCTTATTTCACAGCTTTGGAGGATCGATTCTAAGAGAGGCAAAAATAATTACGAAAGATAGAATATTTACAAAAATATTGATCGATAATAAAAAAAAAAAATCATAACTTTTGTCTTGATCTTTAGAATAGATTCTCTAAAGATGTCTCATTGAATATATATTAACATTCTGTATACTATGAATACACGCGTGTAATTAACATATAATTTGAAATACAACTATCTGCTCTATGCTATTCCACGGTGCTTATTATCAGCAAATTTAAATATTGATTAAACATTGACTAAATCTCCATTGATAGAAACAATGTTTTATTTTAAAATCTCGATAGACTAAAAATTGTTTTCATACACAAGTTCAAAATTTTGATCTCTAATCTATTTATTTTCTCTCGTAAGAACACGATTAGTTTAACACATTACGAAATTCAAGATGTATCG